CCTGTTTTATTCTCAGGGTTCTGGTTCACTCGGGGTCTCCTCACTCTCCTCTTTAACAAACACCATCTTCACAGCAGCAGATCTCAGTTCAGATGATACTCCTCCAGATATTCCTGCTTGGTCTTAGTCACGACTGTGAGGATGAGAATATTACAGGTATTTATTGACCTGATTCAAAAACTGTATTTCTCTATTTACAGAAACCGCATTTCTAACAGTTTGTATTAAAACAGCATCAAGACATAACAACAGAGAGCGCAGTGAAACTAATCTTCTTCCTCTGAGGTTTAATGGTGTTTGGTGAACAAACATATATGTGTCTTAGTGCCACCCGCTGGACTGGAGCTTGAAGCGACGAGAGGAGGAAAATAAATTGCGTCTGAAAAAAAAAAGCCGATCTGAACAAATAAATTAAAGTAACTTAAAAGTATAGACTCGCATGGCATTCCATCAACACCAACAGTCTTCGTGAGTGAGGATTAGAAGAGAAAAATTAGAGAAGTCAAATATTTTAGTGAAAATCACACAAGGTTACCTAATACAAAAATGGCCATTCCACCGAATGGTTGCTATTTTCTTCCAAAACTCTTCCCCAAAAAATAAAAAAATAAAATCTTATTAAATATATCTTACTATTATCCTATAAAAAATGCAAGTTTCAAAATATGTCACCAAATTCCTTAATTTTCCCCTCAGGCAGGTGTTTATTTTAAAGAAACTTGGTTTCATGGTCAAAAAAAAAAAAGTTTATCATTAAAAAAAAAAAATCACTATTTATATACACAAGGTGTTTTTTTCTAAAATACTCAAACCCATTTTTTTTTAAGGCGACTCAAACCTCAAGCTTATTAATTTTCTATGATGCAATTTATTAAAGGGGTTATATGATGCTTTTTTAAAGATCATTATTTTGTGTATTTGGTGTAACAGAATATGTTGACATGCTTTAATGTTCAAAAAACACATTATTTTTCAAATACTGTACATTATTGTAAGTCCTCTATGCCCCGCCTCTCTCAAACGCTTAGTTTTCTACAAAGTCCCTCCTTCCGACAAGCACAGTCTGCTCTGATTGGCCAGCTAACCCAGTGCATTGTGATTGGCCGAAAACCGCAAGCACTTGTCTGAAATGTAACGCCCCTTACCATAATCGCGAGCTTCATCTTTCAAAATAAATGTAAAGACAGAGCCCGAAAGGAGAACAGAGAACAGTAGCTGATTCAGAAGCGCCAGATTGTCATAGCAAAGTCAGAATTACCTCCTCTCCTAGGTTCACGAAACGGTCGTCCATAAAATGCATTGCTGTTCTGTTGTAAGTAATCTTAACAGAAACACAGCGTCTCCCTGACATGGCTGCTTCAACAACTGCGGTTACTGAAACCACGCCTTCTTTCTTTGCGTGAACATTTGGGCTGCATTATGCAAATATTTCCACATAGTGACGTAGATATGTGGGGGCGTGTTAGAACGAGCCGTTTTAGGGGGGGGCGTGGCATAGTCTTAACTTTGATAAAGAATATCTCTTTGGTTTTGAGACTTTAGTCTTTGCAACTTCAGGGATCTTATCTATGCACAATCAGCTTGTAACACTCCAAAGATAAAGGAAAACTTGAAATCGCATCATATGACCCCTTTAAACAATAGGAAACATGATGGACCAAACTTAATTTAAAGGGCACCTATTATGCAAAATCCACTTTTGCATAGTATCTCTAACAGTACAAGTATATTCTACAACTACTGTAGGCTATACAAGTATTAAATAAAGTATAACTATCCAAAAGTTATTTTCTCAATTGCGTCTAAACCCATTTAAGTGTAACAATTTAATTGATGTTCAACAAATAAAAAACAGATGTAATACGGATAAACAAATGATAAAGCTTGGCTTATTGAAAATCAGGGGCCTGTATCATGAAGCCAGATTAGCTGGCTAGCCAGGTAAGTTTCAGTTTAGTTTGCACCTATCCTGGGTTTTAGGTACCATGAAAGTGGTTTGGCTTTTAGCAGTGTTCATTGCCATGGTGACTTACACACCACGGCTAACCTGCTCCGGGGCAGGTTACGTTCTGAGTTAGAGATCTCAAACTGAAATTGGACCAATCAGATGTGAACAAAGTGACACATGTCTGACTCAAAAAAGTCACTCCCCCAGTTTCTCTTGCTCCAAATTAAAGGTCACTAGTACTAAGAAAAATTGTCTGGCTTTAATGATAATTACTTAGAGTTATTTTATATGATTTATATTATTATTAATCCATTACACACAAGCTATTTTAGTTTAACAGTTATTATAAATCATTTATTTTAAATGAATGTTAATATATACAGATCGTATGTAATATAAATAAGCTGTAGAATCAATAGATAATGCTTTAAAAATAACTATGTGACCTTACATGTTCGAGTCTCTATCGCTGTATATTTCCAACTATATAAACTAACTTAACAAGTTTCACTTGTGACTGAGCAAGATCATTTCTTTTATTTGTCCTCTTTCATGAACAAGTACTTTTTTCATTGTTAATGCATTTAAATTCATCATATTCTTCAATCTCTTAACCTTTAGAAAAACCTTTAACCTTTAACCAAGGCTCGTGATTGGCTGTTTGCCAGTGATGTCACACATTCATGAGCACGCACTCCACAAACTCAGGATCAAAGCCTGAGTTGACAAAGAAAGTTGATGATCAGCATCATAGTACCAACAAAGCCGGATTGGAGTGGTTTGGTTTTGTCAACTCAAAACTAATCCTGTAACTCTGAATTTGTTCATCTACCATCATGGTACAGGCCCCAGGTCCCTTTCTACGAAAGCACTTTTTGTAAATGATATGATCACTGATCATAACCTAGATGTGCTCTGTTTGACAGAAACCTGTCTAAAACCTGATGATTACATTATTTTAAACGAGTCTTCCCTCCAAGATTATTGGAGATGATATCTCAGATCATTATCTAGTCTTGTGCAAACTTCATATAGCTAAAACTGTAAATTCTACTCCTTGTTACAAGTATGGCAGAACCATCACTTATACCACAAAAGACTGATTTGTAAGTAATCTTCCTGATTTATCTCAATTCCTTAGCATATCCAATAGCTCAGAACAACTTGATGATGTAACAGAAACTATGGACTCTCTCTTTTCTAGCATTTTAAATACGGTTGCTCCTTTACGCTTAAGGAAGATTAAGGAAAACAGTCTGACACCGTGGTATAATGAGCACACTCGCACCCTAAAGAGAGCAGCCCGGAAAATGGAGCGCAGCTGGAGGAAAACAAAACTAGAGGTATTTCGTATTGCTTGGCGGGAAAGTAACCTATCCTACAGAAAAGCATTAAAAACTGCTAGATCTGATTACTTTTAGTCTTTTTTAGAAGAAAACAAACATAACCCCAGGTATTTATTCAATACAGTGGCTAAACTAACGAAAAATAAAGCATCAATAAGTGTTGACATTTCCCAACAGCACAGCAGTAATGACTTTATGAACTACTTTACTTCCAAGATCGATACTATTAGAGATAAAATTGTAACCATGCAGCTGTCAGCTACAGTATCGCATCAGATAGTGTGCCATAGATCCTATGAGGAACAATTCCACTCATTCTCTACTATAAGAGAAGAAGAATTGTATAAACTTGTTAAATCATCGAAACCAACAACATATATGTTAGACCCTATTCCATCTAAGCTCCTAAAAGAGGTGCTTCCAGAAGTCATAGATCCTCTTCTGACTATTATTAATTCTATTGTAATGCTTTATTGGGTGGTTGTTCTGCACGCTTAATAAACAAACTCCAGCTGGTCCAAAATGCAGCAGCTAGAGTTCTTACTAGAACCAGGAAGTATGACCATATTAGCCCGGTTCTGTCAACACTGCACTGGCTCCCTATTAAACATTGTATTTTAAAATCTTGTTTATTACTTATAAAGCCCTGAATGGTTTAGCACCTCAGTATTTGAACGAGCTCTTGTTACATTATAGTCCTCCACGTCCGCTGCGTTCTCAAAACTCTGGCCATTTGATAATACCTAGAATATCAAAATCAACTGCGGGCGGCAGATCCTTTTCCTATTTAGCGCCCAAACTCTGGAATAACCTACCTAACATTGTTCGGGAGGCAGACACACTCTGTCAGTTTAAATCTAGATTAAAGACCCATCTCTTTAACCTGGCTTACACATAACACACTAACACATTTCTAATATTCAAATCCGTTAAAGGATTTTTAGGCTGCATTAATTAGGTCAACCGGAACCGGGAACACTTCCCATAACACCCGATGTACTTGCTACATTGTTAGAAGAATGGCATCTACGCTAATATTAGTCTGTTTCTCTCTTATTCCGAGGTCACCGTTGCCACCAGATCCAGTCTGTATCCAGATCAGATGGTCACTGCAGTCACCCGGATCCAGTACGTATTCAGACCAGATGGTGGATCAGCACCTAGAGAGGACCTCTACAGCCCTGAAAGACAGCGGAGACCAGGACAACTAGATGAGCCCCAGATACAGATGTTATTCCCCTGTAAAGCCCTTGTCTCAGACGACCACCGGGACAAGACCACAGGAACCAGATGATTCCTCGGCACATTGTGCCTTTGCTAGCCTGAAATTGAACTGCTGGTTTGGTCTGGCCAGAGGAGAACTGGCCCCCGACTGAGCCTTGTTTCTCCCAAGGTTTTTTTCTCCATTCTGTCACCGATGGAGTTTTGGTTCCTTGCCGCTGTCGCCTCTGGCTTGCTTAGTTGGGGACACTTCATTTCCAGCGATATCGTTGACTTGATTGCAAATTATTGCAAAGATACTATTTAAACTGAACTGATGATGACATCACTGAATTCAATGATGAACTGCCTTTAACTGAAAATTGAGTGTTTGAGTGTCATTTTGCATTATTGACACATTATTTTCCTAATTAATGCTGTACAGTTGCTTTGACACAATCTGTATTGTTAAAAGCGCTATATAAATAAAGGTGACTTGACTTGACTCAAGGCAATATCAGCGATGGTTCTGGTGCCGGAGAAGCTATTCATGTCCAGAGGCAGCATCTGATGTCACTGTGGTCATCACATATATTTATAGTGACCTCCCCAAATGAGCTCATCCAGATTGGACACGCCCTCAACGTCTTTAACATGGTTTAACTATGGTTTTTGTAGTAAAACCATAGTAACTACAAAATTAACCATGGTTTTACTACAGTAACCATAGTTAAACTATGGTTTTTGTAGTAAAACCATAGTAACCACATAATAAACCATGGTTTAACTATGTTTTTTGTAGTAAAACCATAGTAACTATAAAATGAACCATGATTTTTGTCCTGATGTTACATCAGTATCAGCAGCCTGTCAACACTGGACACAGACGAACACTAGATTAGGACAGATTCTGTAACATCAGTAACAGCTGCCTGTCAACACTGGACACAGACGAACACTAGATCAGGACAGATTCTGTAACCGCAGCAACAGCAGCCTGTCAACACTGGACACAGACGAACACTAGATCAGGACAGATTCTGTAACATCAGTAACAGCATGTCAACACTGAACACTTGATCAGAACAGATTCTGTAACATCAGTAACAGCAGCCTGTCAACACTGAACACAGATGAACACTAGATCAGGAGAGATTCTGTAACATCAGCAACAGCAGCCTGCCAAAACTGGACACAGACAAACACTAGATCAGGACAGATTCTGTAACATCAGTAACAGCAGCCTGTCAACACAGGACACAGACGAACACTTGATCAGGACAAATTCTGTAACATCAGCAACAGCAGCCTGTCAACACTGAGTAGACAAACACTAGATCAGGACAGATTCTGTAACATCAGTGACAGCAGGTAAACACTGAACACTAGATCATGACAGATTCTGTAACATCAGTAACAGCAGCCTGTCAACACTGGACACAGACGAACACTAGATCAGGACAGATTCTGTAACATCAGTAACAGCAGCCTGTCAACACTGGACACAGATGAACACTATATCAGGACAGATTCTGTAACATCAGTAACATCAGACTATCAACACTGGACACAGACGAACACTGGATCAGGACAGATTATGTAACATCAGTAACAGCAGCCTGTCAACACTGAACACAGACAAACACTAGTAGATCAGGACAGATTCTGTAACATCAGTAACAGCAGCCTGTCAACAATGAACACAGACAAAGACTAGATCAGGACAGATTCTTTAACATCAGCAACAGCAGCCTGTCAACAATGAACACAAACAATGACTAGATCAGGACAGATTCTGTAACATCAGTAACAGCAGCCTGTCAACACTGGACACAGACAAACACTAGATCAGGACAGATTCTGTAACAGTAGACCGTCAACACTGGACACAGATGAACACTAGATCAGGACATATTCTGTAACATCAGTAACAGCAGCCTGTCAACACTGGACACAGACAAACACTAGATTAGGACAGATTCTGTAACATCAGTAACAGCAGACTGTCAACACTGGACACAGACGAACACTAGATCAGGACAGATTCTGTAACATCAGTAACAGCAGACTGTCAACACTGGACACAGACGAACACTAGATCAGGACAGATTCTGTAACATCAGTAACAGCAGACTGTCAACACTGAACACAAACAAAGTGATATAGTTTAACAGCAGACTGTCAACACTGAACACAAACAAAGTGATATAGTTAAGATGGTTTAGATCCTACCTGTTCGATCGCTACCACTTTGTTCCTTTAAATAGGGCGTCATTTCAATTATTACCAGTAAAATATGGAGTGCCACAAGGATCTGTCCTAGGTCCTCTGCTATTTTCAATATACATGTTGCCCCTTGGTAATATTATTAGAAAATACAGGATTAGTTTCCACTGTTATGCTGATGATACTCAACTATATATCTCAACAAGACCAGATGAAACTTCTAAATTATCTAAGATAACAGAGTGTGTTAAAAATTAAATCTGCAAAGATGTCAACAATTCTGTGTTTTTCTGTCAATATGGGGTGCTGTGTGTACATTAATGAGGAAAAAAAATTAACTTAAATGATTTTAGCAAATGGCTGCAATATAACAAAGAGTGAAAAATTTAAGGGGGTCTGAATACTTTCCGTACCCACTGTATATTATCTGGGCCACACAAGCCTTAAGTGAGTTATGCATCAACAGTACTTAACATAATGTAAAGAGAAATTTTAAATGCTCCCTAAATGTTCAAATAAGTTCCAGAAATGTGTCCTACTTGGTAAAATCATCCCAACCCAAGTTTTGCACAAGCAGCAATTCAAATGTCACGGATAAATATTCAAAGACCCATTCCAAGACTTTAAAAACAGTTCTTCACAAGTTTGAACTTAAATGCTTCTCACTCAGACTCTACCTTCACAGTAAATCTATAGCTGTGTCCCAAAGTTGAGTGTGCACACTTCGAAGGTCACGGACTTCGAAGGCCAGGCCTCCGAAGTGCACGAAGGGCCCTCTGAAGTGCGTGAGATGCTCCGCCTTCGCAGAATTTCCTAATTCCTAACCAGGTGTTCCCGATTACTGCTTTGTCGCATAGCAACGGTGCATGACGAGAGGACAATCCTGCCAGGATAGGTGGATCCAGAACTGCTCATTTTTGTTTTTATGTTTTATGTCATTATGGAGGAGACGGTGATGTACCTCAGGCTTAGCCAAGACCGAGGCCAGGTAAGTTACACTGGTTTGCTGCATCCTTTGTCGGATTACAACTTTAAATGTAGGTATTGGCTTGGAGCTTACTTGAATAGTGTAATGATACATATGAAAAACCACAAAATACACACACACACATAGCAGTTCAAATGCTGACTGATATCTTACAAAGGTGGCGATTGTATATAGTTTATTGTCTTGACCATGGTGATCATATGTAGACAGGTTTGCAACCCAGATTTTTTAGGCAGTTAAGTATAAAAATAAAACTGAAAAAAAAAATAGAGCATTGTACTGCTCAATGTTCAGCGGCAGCGGTCACAGCTGAACAGTGCTCTGTTTGACGGTCCGAGTCCTTCAGATGCAGCCTTTGATATACACTGAACAAAATTAAAAACGCAACACTTTTGTTTTTGGCCCATTTTTCATCAGCTGAACTCAAAGATCTAAGACTTTATCTAAGTACACAAAAGGCCTATTTCTCTCAAATATTGTTCACAAATCTGTCTAAATCTACGTTAGTGAGCACTTCTCCTTTTCTGAGATAATCCATCCACCTCACAGGTGTGGCATATCAAGATGCTGTTTAGACAGCATGATTATTGCACAGGTGTGCCTTAGGCTGGATGGATTATCTCTGCAAAGGAGAAGGGCTCACTAACACAGATTTAGACAGATTCGTGAACAATATTTGAGAGAAATAGGCCTTTTGTGTACATCGAAAAAGTCTTAGATCTTCGAGTTCAGCTCATGAAAAATGGGGGCAAAAACAAAAGTGTTGCATTTATAATTTTGTTCAGTGTAGTTAGCAAAAATTTAATAGTCTGACAAAATTGATACTTTCATTTTCAAAATAATCAGAGGTGGACTGCAAGGAAGTACATTCGTTAAGTATACTCGTACAAATATGAAGTACTATTTATTTATTTATTTTTTTTCTCCTCCAAGGACCGCGGCACTACAAAAATACGGTATTTTACAACATGATGCATTGTTGTAGACTAAACTACCCAACAGTATATTTAGTAGGCAATTTTACATTTAATAACATTGAACATATTCAGAAGTAAAATGCAACATACACAGTAGTGCAGCAGTAATATTAATGCAAAACCATCCTGACGAATTGTTTCAGAACAATACAGTATACCTTTACTCTCAAAACCTTAAGTACATTAAATTATGCAAGATAATACTTTTAAAAATGGTTTACTAAAATACCTCAATATTTCTGCTACTAATTACTTTGTCATAGCTCTAAACAGTTTCTCTTTTCCTACATCAGACCAGACCCCCGTACTACAGGATAAAGCGGAATGTGCCAGCACTGGACAGGTTTTTTTTAATGACTGTGACATACCCTGACAGTGCTGCTGGATCTTCTGAGAAGTGAACGGCAACACGGATGGGGTGCCACAATCCAGACCCTGGTGTTTCTCTTCTGTCTGGCCAGTGGTACATCATACAGAGTGGTCTCCAGAGTGTTTGACATGCCTCATTCCACGGTCACCGCATTGTCCTCGGAGTCGCTGTGGAGGTGCTGGCCATTCACCAAGAGATTCACCTTCTGAAGACCCCAGAACACATGGAGGCAGGGCTGGGCTTAAAATGTATGTTTTTTCTTCTTTTTCTGATGTTAAACCTAAGTTATGTTGTAAAAAGTACTTTCAGTAATGTATTGAACAATGTTTTAATGTGTAAAAAAAACAAACGTATAGAAGAATGTTTTGTGAAAAAATAAGCTGCATTAAAAAAAAAAAAAAACAACAACAACAATGTACATAATTACTTTTATTTACACATGTGAATATGCAAAACAAAAATGTACCGAAAGTACTCGGGGCTCATTTACAAATAAATAACACTACAAAAATGAACGTATACAACTTATTTCATTTTGAACTTGCATCACAAAAATAAACTACAGAAATTAGGTTGCTTCATTGACAGTGACATTATAAAAAAATATATTGAAAAATTGTAATGTATCCATTTTTACCACTGCTTTCTCTTGCCTAATAGAGAATGGCTAATACATGTATTTGTTAAGCATTCTCTCAAGAAGAGAAAGCGGTCTCTCCATTCTCTCCTGTGCGCTTCTCTCCTCTGGCCCTCTCTGGAATTGGATGTCCTCCCGGAGTAGCTCCACCAGCTTCCATTCACTCCCTCACCTGTCCCAGGACACTTGCAATCCTAAGGCAGAGCAAATAAACCATGCCTGTTAACAACAGCACAATGAATTTTAGCAAAAACGTGGGTATTAACTTGCTTACTTTGTATTTTTTAAGTCTTTCCCCAGCAGGCTCATTTTCTCCCTGAATAGTACTTAACAAGAGAAAATGGAAACACAAAATATAAAAGACAGGTTTGCAATCTTAACATTAGAAAATATGACACAGCAGGACATGCATACAAAATACTGAAGTGCTAAAGTTTGGTTAAAACATTTGTAGACATCTTGCATGACAGCACTACAAAAACACAACAAAGGGAAAGACTATTGTCTTACATAGTGGTTGTCTTATTGTTTGTGGGCTGTGTGTTAAAAAAAAACCTGTCTTTTAACACTTTCGCTAGGTATTTGAGTAAATGCAAACACAATACTTACATTTCAATATGAATTCCCCCACAGAACTCTCATCATCCACGTTCTTTGAATATAAACACCGTTGTCATCTGTGCGCAAGTGATTCTGGGATATGGTAGGGTGCGAAGTGTCCATCAGATGTACACTTCATTTACCTGGGGAACGGAGGGCGCATTTGACGTCGCTTTCGAAATACGTCAGCCTTCGTCACGCCGTGGTGTCGCAATCGGTCTTGGAATAAGGTCTTCGGAGGGCGCATCCTGAATTGAGACAGCTTAAATTGTGACGCAATCTCACTTCAAATGCACACTCCGGAGTCCACACACTTCAGTTTGGGACACAGCTCTTAAGTGTCACAGCTACGCTTTGTTAAAGTGCACACGATGAAGATGAAAGCTTATATATCATAAGTCTTTAATCCAACAAGGGTAAATCCAAACACAACGTAGCATTCAAGCCATGTAGACGTAAGACCAGACAAACTCAAAGTAAACGTAAGTACTCAGACCAAATAAGGATAATTAACTATGCACACCTGAACAGAATAATACAATCAACACAACAAGGGAACCGGTGCAAAAGGAAAACATATGAACAAAAACCTTGACAGCAAGAGTACAATCTTTATAGTGCACTTCTGTTTTTATGCTGCACAGTACACATATAGAAAACTGCCATTAAAAGCATGTTTTTAAAAAAAAAATATTGCTGGGTATGTAGCCTTCTTAAGACTCATATCCAGATCATCCTGCATCATTTAACTGTGTTGCATCCTACTAAAAGTAACCAAATTCTATTAGGCCATATTTACAATTTCAAACTTCCATTTCAATTAGCCAGTGTCAAGTGCTACATCCAAACCAGAAGTGGCCCTCATCTGTTATGTAATATATGTGGCATATTTGCCATGTCAAATGTGGGACAAGTTTAGCTTACACACTGATTAGCCAATGCTGACTGTGCCGTATATTTGCCAAAAGTGGCCCAAATTGTTATTAATTATTTGGGCAATATTTGTCATTTTATAGGTGGGACACTTTAGGCTCACAGTCACATTAGCCAGTGCTCACTGTGCCATGTCTATAGTTAACACTCATACATTCTACACTAACACAAAGATGGTTTACATAATTGAGTGCAACAGTGATCGGCCACTTTTCAAGACAGGAGATAAAGGG